TGCCTACAATTGCAATGTGATATTGCTGCGCCAGCTTGGTGGGAATCGTACCACAGTTCTTGGACTATACTACTCTTCCCTTGGTGTAGCGCCAGGAGTGAAGTCAACCAGCACAACCATATCAATCCGCGCTCCAGGTTCTTTCACACAACCGTCTACGCAAAGCCGGGACATCGATTTACATGGGCAATCCTTGAAACTACGGATTCCACATATTCTGACCAATATGTTCGTTTTGACTGCCAGAGGAATGGAAGTGAACACCACGGTGTCTGGCTTCGCAAACCTATTGTCACCACTGTAGAACCGCTCAGTATGCAAGTTCAAATGTGCAATCCTTATGGTGGACCGATATCGTTACAACTACAATTAACCTTACCACAAACCCAACAATCCGGTTGGAAAATGTCTACAAGCATCCCTATGTAGATCTGCGGGACCCCCAAATCATCCAGAGATGTAACAACTTCGCGGCGTACTACGAACGCTGGTCAACGGTGATAATCTGATCAAAGCCTTATTAACTGGAGCACAACCAAATCCGCGCTCCAGGTTCTTTCACACAACCGTCTACGCAAAGCCGGGACATCGATTTACATGGGCAATCCTTGAAACTACGGATTCCACATATTCTGACCAATATGTTCGTTTTGACTGCCAGAGGAATGGAAGTGAACACCACGGTGTCTGGCTTCGCAAACCTATTGTCACCACTGTAGAACCGCTCAGTATGCAAGTTCAAATGTGCAATCCTTATGGTGGACCGATATCGTTACAACTACAATTAACCTTACCACAAACCCAACAATCCGGTTGGAAAATGTCTACAAGCATCCCTATGTAGATCTGCGGGACCCCCAAATCATCCAGAGATGTAACAACTTCGCGGCGTACTACGAACGCTGGTCAACGGTGATAATCTGATCAAAGCCTTATTAACTGGAGACGTGGTCAGATTCAATGCAGCTAGTGTGCTGAATAGTGGAGATTACTTGGACACGGTGATCGAGATGGCACCTAACTTTTGTGCGACAGATCCCACGAAGGCAGGCCAGATGGCGTTCGCGAGTGACATACAAATTTAAGCTTGCTTGGGACACGCGGGTCACCCAATAATGGGATTTCCGGACTGGAGTGGGATCTACGCCCACTGCGAGAATATAGTATCTAGCGGTGAAAACGTTCCATTTGTACATGAGAATAGACATAATTTGCAGTTGAGACCCGCCACACTTTTGCATGGTGGCGAAACTACCATTGAAGTCAACCTCATCTACGCAGCAGAGAAGCTATTTGGTACATTACCCTATGGAATTGATTGAGACGAGGTTAAATGGCAATTTGATACGTACAATGACGTGGGACGCGGTTATTACAAATACTTGAGCTCCTTGTTTAGGTACGGTCTCATCGAAACGTTGCGTGAGAGAGCTGGAGGTAGTTCTCTCGACCCAGAACATGAGAAAACTAGGGCACGCTGTCATCTGATTAGTGTTGCCCGTATCCCACTGAAGTATAATTTGTGGTCTACCCCGTCCGATCCACTGAAAATACGTTATAGATTTTGGACAAACTCAATTAAAAATTCCACTCTCTATGGACGCTTGAATGGGGAATTTACACTACGCATATCCTTTATAGCGTATCCATTATAGCAATCGCGCATAAAACCCCGGCCAAACCAAAGTTTCGAACGGTGAAACTGTCCGGATGTATCTTTTCCGACAACCTCAGCTGCGTTTAACGTGACTGCTGTATCGTAGCTTACACGCAAACGGCTAGACATTGTGGTTTGCAGGAATGGGGTAGGATCATGTTATTGATGCAATTCTCAGCGTAATCACGCCAGCATCATTTTTTTACTCATTCCATTGTGGCAACTTTGTTCCACAATTTTTTTTATTTATCTCGCAGGATCATACCCTTTCCCACTTTTATCAGTGTCTTTTCTATCAAAGCAGTCCTAATGCAGAGTTCCACCTCATGCTTGTACACCAATTTGATCTCCTGAGGGATGTAGACCAATGTGGCGAGCTTTGTGCTCGATAAGCAATCCCTTTCTGATGTCGGTACTTCGGCTGCCGCCATTCAAGTTCCAAACCTTCTTGCTGATATCCTCTACATTTAGGCGGTTGCATCACCTGTATGTTCAAACTATTACGGAAGTTAAATAAAAAGGCGAAACTTTAACTTTGCAACAAGCTGTGCTTTTTAATTTATTGAAGATCACGGATTCCTGCCTACTTCGGACGGATATTCCCAGATTTATCCATTGCTGTGCCACTGATAAATTAACCCCAGCTGTTTCCTAAGACGTGCGCAGGGAAGGATTATGAGCAGAGCAATGCAGTTCTGCGCTTGAAGAACAAGATTAGTCGTTAGCAAGGTGGTTAGACTGATTTGTATATTCATTATGTGTTGAACAAATTAAACCGAACAATTTGTAGGTGCGACTGGACGTTTGCTGTTCGAAAACTGTTCGGTTAAGTTTGCAATACAACTCCTAGCAACTCAAGTAATATGTATTTGAATAATCATTTTCCAACTAGTAAGAATAGTTGACTATTAAGTGCCACGAACAAGCCCATAGCGGCTAACCATTCAAAACTATATTTTTAACAACTAGGCATATTGTACAGACCCGTAGGTACCTGCGATTCAATGAACCCTCCTTCAAGGTCGTCTACTATGAATAATGTAGAACAAAAAACTGCTGAAAACAATCACCCTTCTGAATACCCGGTTGACTCTACCTCAAGTTAGTAGAACAGTTAAAAACGCAGGGGTATATTGAAGCAAAATTCACGTCCAAGCAATGTTGAGATTCATTTTTCCGTGATCAAAACGACGTCTCCGTCTCCTTGCTAAATTAAAAATGTAGAAAAGAAGGTAAATCGAACGTGCAAGCAGAAAAAACCTCTTACGTTTAAGACCCATTGTTTTTTGGCATGCTAAACCTTTTACCAATTGCTTCAATCCTATATGCTGCACTTGCTGACGTTCAACGTGTTTCCTCATACTTTGTACCAAGCAAACAGGCATGGACAAACGAAATGGAAAAAAATCCAGTGCACTTTATACATGCGTCTTAGGCTCCCCAGTTGGGTCACAGTTGGATCGCTGCCCCGTCAGCACTCCTCCGGAAACTAAGGGAACAACATTTCGTTACATATCGTGCGTATTGCATAAGATGATATCGAGATACGTAGATTTTAGCCGTCATTCATCTGAGAATCTGGTGCAATATGACTCAAAACTGTGACCAAACGCCTGTCATATGACAACTGGTGCGATTAATATCAGAAAATCCATTGATCCGTGCATATGAAAAAACCAGTTTACCTTACTTTACTTCGGGAAGTGGTTGAACATCAGTTCCCCGGTTACTCGATGGACACATTCGTTCGCATTCCTTTTAGTTTTCATGAGAATTTCAAATTCAGGTGAATAATTTTCGAAGTTGGTAGTGCATATATTGCTTCCACTTCCGAAAAATACCTAACGGTTTTGTTGGTTGATGAGGATGAAATAAGTGCACAGTTCTTATATCCGAACGAACATCAGGCATAGCACGTCAATGGAAGTGCGTCGTAGAGACATCCAACCAAGCCACAGCGTTAATAAGTAAACCTCTGGATACAAACGCATCGACATTCCTAAATGGACAGGTACGCAGTTTATAGGAGTAAGGTATGCCAGCGGACGTTGGCAATAGAAGGAATTACGCAAACGCTATTTCGATATTCGATAATGCGAATGTTTGTAAAGTTTTCGCTCCTTCCTCTTCAAATGGCCCAGATTTGAGAAATTTCGATTTATTCCTTAACAGTTTATATTGCGGAATGGTAGCCAATGATACATTTGCTCCTCACGTTTGAACGCTCTGGACTTATTATCGTTTACCACAGAATTTCTGCCGATCAATATCGCGAACGAGCTACTGAACAGGCAAAGAATACCGAATTCAAAGAAACTCGCCATGTCTGTAATCACCGAAAATGTCCAATGCCTAAGAGTTTGCGAATATTGGGATCAGGAGAGGACAGATCAAAACGATCCATTATAAACTGTAGGGGCTTCAAAACACAGATGACTGAGTACGCTAAAAACCAGTGAGAAGTGTTAGCTGTTAACGGCTGACAACCGTTCTGCTGCATATATCGAACCTGTCCCCACAAAGCCACCTTATTAGTGTCTTTGATAATACTTCATGACGAGACAAAATTCAAGTAACCGTCACTTTCGCGGAATGAATCAGTAATTGTTCCCGGTGATTCTCACATGTAGTGCTATTCTACCAGCCCACAGACCATACGGGCTCTCCTCACGTATGCACATCTGTTTTCGTAACCTGGTCGAGTGCTGCTTAAAGTCTGTTGTACAGTGCATCAGAAGACAGTTTAACTTCAATACTGACGGAGTTCTCACTGGAAGTGTCCACCTTTTGATTTCGGTGGTAGTGTGAAGATTTTAACTTTTGAGCCCCTAGGCTCGAATCTACAAGACGATGGACGCAACTCAGGGTCTGAATTTGTTTGCTCCTCAGGGATATCGGTATATTAAGTGGTTCAGTACCTCCAGGAAGCGTTTTCGATTTGCATGCCGCTGCTATTTATCACTTCGGTTGCAACTTCCCAAAGGAGGTCTATCATAGCCCCTTGGCTACAATTATTTCTCAACTCAGATTAAACAAAATGCAGGTTACCGAGGGATAGGTATATCAGTTAACCCATTCTCCAAAGCAGTCTTATAAACTGATACTGCTTGACCGATTTCTCCATGTTCCTATCAAGGGGAAACTCTATTGTCTTTCCGAATGCGATTACTTCAATACATTAGATAGCTCCGACATTTAGCACGCTCAAAATTTGTATGAAACGATTTGAAAGACCTCTGAACTCCGTAGGAAACAAAACAAATAAGCAGAAATCCACATTCAAGTGCTAAGTGAAGAGAGACACGATCGTAATCACTGAAAATTAATTATTATTCTCACATCATATAAATTGTACTCATTTTTACTCAAGTGCAAGTTAGCATATGATAATCATATCCTGGTCTAGAACCTAATGACAACAGAATAGAACAAGAAGAAGACAATACTAACGAAATGATTAACTTCATCGTTGAGGCACTGGCCGGGCTACAGCAATCTGATCTCACAATCCTTTCAAGTGCACTGAGATATTCAGCAGTCAAAAGTGCACAAAACTGCTCCAGAGAGTTCTGCCTTAACTGATTCGTTTAGAAGAAAAAACAACCGGTTTCTTTCAGGAGTAAATGAAGTTGACGATTGCGTTATTTGTCCTGTTTATTCCATTCTTCAGGTCTTATGCACCACACATGCCTTCCGTTACCAGATGATACCTGCATAATATTATGCTTGTTTGAACGTAGACCACATTGGTAGTTGCAAAAATGACTGCGATCATTCGTAGCTATCCTCAAGTAACAAGTTCATCACAAGAGTGATAAAGGTCCCGCATATTCAAATGGTTTGCCCATGTTGAGATCGCAAAATTTTGCAAGATGTCCGTGAAAGTAATATTACACTTGCAAAGTTAAACGGCTCAAACGAGAGACCGAATGTTTTGTTCATGAAGCGCTACAGTGAGTGTCTGAACTCTCCGTTAAAGCTATCCGGATTTGAGGGCACGCTATCCTTTATCGTCGCCTTTGTCCTGTCGGGGAAACCTACAAAAATCGCAGCACATCGTGTTATACCCAGTTGTTTTTTCTCTGTCACCTTTTACACTGGAGAAAAATCACATTTTTATCTGTGTACATTCGACAAAGAATACCAGGTCAACTCACAGTCTACTGAACGTTACTGTTGTGAGAAGTTTTATACAAGCATTTTGTTTTTCTGGCTATATAGTGTATTGTGAAATGCCAAGGAAATATTTTCCACAATAATCTGCACTTCGGGCGCTGATTCCGACATGGTCGTAAAAGGTGACTATAGAAATTCAGAAGAACGTGAACAGAGAACACGCGATAATATAACATACTCAACAATCAGGTCTCACTTTAAACTGAGCCTATGCACCCGTGTGTACTAAAACCAAGAACCATTTCCGAT